AGCTACCTGCTCACATGATGCAACCCACTGTACTCAGAAAAGTGCAACGGAACAGCCATTTTACTCGGAATTCCAAGTCAGGAACTCGGGCAACGTCTACCTTGCCCAAGTTCTCTAACATAAACAAACCTGACGTCACACCAATACGGTGACGTAGTCAATGGTAACCAGAATTCCCTTTGCATTAGTTTCTACTTTGATTTTATTTGATATGCAGCTTTTCTGTAGTGAAAAGGTGTTTTAACAGCTTTGTAAAAGTTTAGTTTATAACTTAATTCCAATTTTTCTAATGGAATAAGACCACCATAACTGATCATTTTTATTAGCAAAGATGAACGAGACAGTTGACCTACATTATAACTCATTTCTCTTCATTGATCACACACAAATAATTCATGTAGATCTTATTAATATCTTTATCAAATTCAAACACTAGGCATACAAATATGAACTTCCTCTGGGCATCCATGTTTTTCTGAGCTGAAGTGCTGGAAGGCTTTTAGATCGCAGCTCTGGAAAACCCACTTGGAACTTTCAGACTTCCAGGTACAGTGGATTGTAGTATTAGCACAACGCAATGTTTCTTACTGCTCTTACAGTAACTGAGGCCCTCTGAAGAAGTCACAGGATAGCAAATCTCATGAAAGGGTCCAGAGCAGATTATCATTAAAAATAATAATGACAATTATAAAAGAAAAAGTTAAAAATGCCGATAATTACATTTGACATAGACTGAGGGCATGCTGAAAAATGTATCGTACAGTAAGAGCAAAAGTTTGCATTCCCTTAGGATAAAAGGAAATCAGTCTCACAGATTTTCCTTCCATCTATCTAATCATTGGTGTTTTTTAATTTTTAAATTGTTTTAAACATTTTTTTAAACAACTTTAAACATATAAAAAATTTATTATACATTAGTGAACCAGCAAGTCGAATTCTAAGTTTGTCTGAGTTAACAAAAAATTTAATAAATGGACTGTTAATGTATTGTTAATCTTTGTTACTCAGTTAAAAATATTTACTTTCACTCTTAAATACATGAGTATATTTAAATGAAGATACTTTTTGACTTTCACTCAAGCAGATATTTGACCCCATACCCCATCGACCCATAGTACAAGAACCCAGACTTTTACTTAAGCATAGTTTCTCTGTACGTTTTCAATCCTGAATAAATGTTACAATATCACCTGAATAAACGTTATTTTGCATGGCCAAACAGGACATAACATTGCTAAGTAATGAACAGAACTTCCTTCTCAGCAATCACAGTATGCTGAGAAGGAAGGTTTTGACCAGGTTTGAACTCTCCTGGTGATCAGCAACCCTGATGACCAGGAGATCTTAAAAAAAATGACACTGTCAGCAGTTGCACTGTGTAGCTGCTAAATAATGAGACATCATGCATTTTTTAAATACAAGCTGAGATTGAGAAACAGAAGATGTATGACTCTGAAAGCGGGATCTGCACAGCCAGTGTTGCCAACTTTGTCACTAGATTTGGTGACTTTTTTGGACCCCTTCAGTGACTTTATTTCAAAAAAGAACCTAGCAACAAATCTAGCAGCTTTTTGAGCAAATGTTAGTGACTGTCCTGTACTCGATACGGCTGTCCAGCTCACTTCACAGCCGCTGGTTATATGAGTTGAGACAGCAGGTTCACTCAACTCACCATCAGTGTGTAAAGCCTGACTGAGCTGCATTTGCACAAGCCAATGTTCCCAACAACCAATCACTCGTCATCAACGTTCCCAACAACCAATCACTCATCACCAACATTCCCAACAACCAATCACTCGTCATCAGCATTCCCAACAACCAATCACTCATCACCAATGTTCCCATCGACCAATCACTCGTCATCAACGTTCCCAACAACCAATCACTCATTATCGATGGTCTCAACAACCAATTACTCATCACCAATGTTCCCAACAACCAATCACTCATCACCAACGTTCCCAACAACCAATCACTCATCACCAATGTTCCCATCGACCAATCACTCGTCATCAACGTTCCCAACAACCAACCACTCATTATCGATGGTCTCAACAACCAATCACTCGTCATCAACGTTCCCAACAACCAACCACTCATTATCGATGGTCTCAACAACCAATCACTCATCACCAACGTTCCCAACAACCAATCACTCATCACCAACGTTCCCAACAACCAATCACTCATCACCAACGTTCCCAACAACCAATCACTCATCACCACTGTTTCTCATCTACCAATCACTGATCTCCATTCTTTCCCATTGACCAATCACTCATCACCATTGCTTGTCCCAGCCTTGCACACTGTTCTTCATTTTAATCTCTATTCTTGGTGATATTTGCAGTAATAAAAACGCTTTATTCCATCCATAACCATTTCCTTCATGTCTAATTCATGACTACTTACTATCGCTGCTTCTTTTTACCTGCACTCTTGATAGAAGGTACAGTATTTTGTAAATGTGCAAAAGGTTAGTTTTTGGTGCCATGACCAAAGACCACTTATTTCTATAAGACATAAATTATAATATATTATTTTCTATTCTGATAAAACTGTTCTATTTTATCATCTTCTATTCCAAGGGTCTTCAGAAAGTCTTTCTTCTTCATGTAACCTAATTTGTAATCTGATATGCAAATAATCATGATGAACCTATGAATATGCTAATGAGTCCATGACGTCACCTGGAGACTTCTAGCGACTTTTTGCGCGTGCTTTAGCTACTTAATCTGTGAAAGAGTTGGCAACACTGTGCACTGTGCAATCCAATTTGCAAGCAAACCAGGTTAATACAGCGACCTGAAAAAGCAGCCATTCAAAACGTGTCATCTTGAATCAATCATTAGTCTCAATACTTCATACAAAACGATTTATAAATCGTGCTAAATCACTGTTATAAATCTTAAATAGCTTGAAACCGGAAAAGCAGCATTAGAGCTCTTCTTCTTCTTCGGCGGTAATCAAAGTAAGCAGCTAGCTAACTAGCTCAGCTAAGGCTCCTTTTTGTTCATTGGTTTATTAATTATTACTATTATTTTTTAGCATTAAGAGACACAATAGCCAGGCAGAAACAGAATGACATAACAATATGCACATGTCTCTATATCATCCTGATGCAGAAGAAGTCGTATGCAGCTTGGTTAACGGCTGCTTAAGTTAGCAAAGGTTAGCATCCGCTAGCAGTCTGCGGTCTCTGTAGCATCACACAGCACGATCAAGCTCATTTACCAGCTTTGCAGATGTCACCGGAGAGCCCGCGGGAATCCTGCTCTTTTTCCGTTATCGTTACAACTTCGTGTGATTAAGAATAATTAAATTTTCTGAGAAATATGTTACTAGCTGTCTCGCTCTTATGACCTACTTTCAGCACACAGACGTAAACAATACGGCATCGAGTTCCGCCCATTTTCCGCCAATGACTGACGGCCAATCAGGTGGTAGGGGCGGGGTTTGTTTTCTAGACTCTCCTCTTATTGGCTACGTTTTTGTCATTTAATGACGCACTAATCTGTAGCTGTAGTTTCATACTAAATCAGTGTTTTATATAATCTTCTATAGGCCTATCTCTGCGGATTATTTGAACATGAAAATGCTGAAAATGTGTCATGCTGCACTGACACTTTATTTTACATTCCTGTAAGAATGATAAGGCCAAAGGTTTGTGGACACCTGACCATCAGACCCATATGTGGCTCTTGCCCAAACTGTTGGAAGCACACAGCTGTATCGGATGTCTTTGTATGTCTGGAACTAAGAGGCCCAAACCTGTTCCAACATGACAATGCAACTGTGCACAAAGCGAGCTCCATGAAGATATGGTTTGCCACGAACTGTTCCCCAGGCCTCCTCGCCCAACATCAGTGCCTGATCTCACTAATGCTCTTGTGGCTGAATGGGCAAATCCCCACAGCCACGCTCCAAAATCTAGTGGAAAGCCTTCCCAGAAGAGTGGAAGAGGATTAAATCTGGAATGGGATGTTCATATAGGTGTGACGGTCAGGTGTCCATATATTGTATCTGATTCTAATTCTGATCTGGGTGCTCATAAGACTGCAAAAATGTTAATTTCACACACCAGGACATCATGAAAATCTATAAGAATCTTGGTTCCTCAGGAACTGGAGCTCAAATGTAAAGAGATCTGCCCGATCCTGTAAGAGGAGTATAATGCCTGATACGTGATCTTGTATGACTTGTTTAGCACCTACACTGTGCTCTAGGCAGGTTTTTGGTTCACCTATACATATCATTTTATCTTCATGAAGAATTTTATGTATCTTTGCAAATTCAGATAATTCTATATTGTGCTGCCACTTGACCTGTACTGTAAATGTCCTACACTGATACCAAGATTTAGTACTTTTAGTAAAGTTCAGATTCAGTAAAATGACATTTTTTTAGTATTTCCTATTATAAGATTACAATAAACCAAATATATTATTATTTGTACCTATTTCTAGATATTCTTTTACCAGTTTCAAGCTTGAAATAGTCTTCTTCTATTAGCAGATAGTTTTTCTAATTTTAAGCATTTATTTCAAGAAAGAAAGCAAAATTATCTGCTAATAGAATAAGAAAATGTAAAGCTTGAAATGTGTAAAAGCATCTAAAAATAGGCTGAATCATATTTGATTTATAATATCATCATAAAAAATATTTGATAAATTTGCCCATATTTAAGATTTTTTTTTTTTTCACTTGCTAAGATATTTTTTTTTGCAGTGCAGGACTGTGTCTATAGCACAGGTTCCCAGTCCTGGTCCTGGAGTACCCTTGTCCCACACATTTTAATGTTTTCCCTGCTCTAACAAAACTGATCCATCTAATCAGCTAATTACCAGCCATTTCTGAGTTGAAGTGGGTGCATTAGGGCACGGAAACTTCTAAAATGTGCAGGACAGGAGGAATTCCAGGATCAGGGTTGGGAACCTGTGGGCTATGGCAGGTTTTCTTGGAGGTCCCTGGCCTGCAGACATGCAAGTACTCTACGAATAGCAGTGGCAGCTAAGTGGTTAAAATATTGGACTACTGATCAAATAGTCATGAGTTCAAACCCCAACACTGCCAAGCTACCCCTGTTAGGCCCTGACCCTCAACTGCTTAGATATATAAGTGAAAGTTGCTCTGGATGTCTGCCAAATGTAAATGATTCAGACACACCTATTGCAGCTCATAAGCTAGAGGTTCCTGAGAAAAGCTGATATTTGGCCCCTTCAATCCAATTGTCATGTTATGATTACCATTTGTTTATAGATAGAAATAGTCTGTGACAAATTAAAGGAAAAACAGCAACTGTGGGGGCATTTATTTTTGTTGGTGTGGTTTGGGTCCACTTATCACCTTTATGCCATGCTATGGTTTTCACAGTCACCAGATCTCAACCCAGCTGAACACCTATAGAGTTTGGACTGATGTGTTAGACAGAGCTCTCCACCACCATCAAACCACAAACTGAGGGAATATCTTTAGGAAGAATGGTGCCCATTCCTCTGGTACAGTTCCAGAGACTTGTAGAATCTACACTATATGGCCAAAAGTTTGTGGATACCTGACTATAACACTCATATGTGCTTTTTGAATATCCCATTCCATGATTAGTCTTTCCACGAGATTTTGGCTGTCAGGTACTGATGTTGAGTGAGGAGGTCTGGGGTGCAGTCGGCATTCCAATTCATCCCAAAGATGTTCAGTGGGTTTGAGGTCAGGGCTCTGTGCAGGACACTCAAGTTCTTCCACTTTAACCTTGGCAAACCATGTCTTCATGAATCTCACTTTGTGCACAGGGGCACTGGCATGCTAGAACAAGTTTGGGCCTCTTAGATCCAGTGAAGGGAAATCTTAAAGCTAGAGCATACGAAGACATTCTATACAATTCTGTGCTTCCAACTTTGTGGCAACAGTTTGGGGAAGAACCACATATGGGTGTGATGGTCAGCTGTCCATAAACTTTTGGCCATATAGTTTATATCAAGGTACATCGAAGCTGTTCTGGCAGCTCCAGTTACCCAACACCCAGCTAAGACAGCTTGTGCTGTTTTTCTATCGCTTTCTCTTTCACTTGTGTAGACCACGCCCTTGACTAGATGATAATGAGTGACTGTGGAACTCTAGAAGGAGGGGGAGACCTCTGAGAACTTGGACTGCAGTTTTGAATGGCTTCTGCTTTGCACTAGACAGCCACTAAAGTCACTGGGTAAGAGGTGCTAAATAATATGAACAGATGTGGAAGTGGTCGATGCAGAAACTCTGTCATTAGTAGGAAAGAGATGGGAATATATATTTAAAAAAATATATTTAAGAAGGAAGAATTTTGTTAATGACAAGACAAACACAACATTCCTCTCTGCTGATTTAATAAGTCACTAAACCAGGATCACAAGCCAGGAACAAAGCTGCAGAAGTAGTAGGGGTGCAATAGTGTAACAGTTCAGTGAACACTGAAACTCTGACAGATGGTAACCTATGTACTTATTTCTCATCCAGCTCATTTGGCACAGTATCTCCTTTTCTAACATCTTTTCACTTGGCATCTTTGGTAAGAATGTAAAACCGTAAAATGTAATGTGAAAATGTAAATGTTGGTGACAATGTAAAGCTCAGTGTGGTAGATTCAGCAGTATTAACCATAAGCTTGATAACAGCTATGCAATACATCCTCACATTCCATTGCACAGATATATTCATTGTGTTGCTCTTGAGTAGTGACTGAAAAAGAAAAGGTAATACCAGACATGAAGGTGTCCAAGTAGTCAAAGCAAACCGAAAGCAGACACAGAAGGAAGTTGAGGAAGTTTTATTTGGAAACAGGACGGGCCGGGCTGGTGTGTGCCCATCAATGCAACCAGAAACAGTAGTAGCTACAGGTATAACGCTACACATTGTTCAAAGAATGTCACCTTAGAATTAAAACATACACATTCACACAAACATATGCGTGCATACACTCACAGACGGCACGCTCTGTAAACTTCCACACCAAATAACCTTGATACAGACAACAAAATTTGCATGGTAACTGATGATTACATCCAGAGGAACTCCAAGCACAAATTACCCACAGTGCAATTCACCTACCTATACAGATATATACTTCTGATACATGTATTTATATATAGAGATCACTGGGATTTCAATAAAGACTTTCAATTAAACAATTTCATGAACATTTCAAAATCTTCATAAATAATCAGTGAAAAATGTATTTTTTTTACAGTTAAGTCCTCAATATCAGCATTAATCAGCAAATGGTCCCAAAATAGAAAAAAAAAAAACCTGGATGATTTGTTCTTCTAACATGAGGGGGAAATAGACGAAATAAAAACGCAAACAAACAAGTGTAGCGGTAAGGGTAAGGGCAGCTATCTAAACACCAACAAGACAAGATCACAAGCTACACAGCGCATTTACAAGGAGACACACGTCAGGCTACTATAATACACACAGAGAGGAGAGCTCTCTCATACATTTAATTGCCCACCAAGCACAAACACGCACACACACACCTACATACTTACACACGTACTTACATACACAAACACACTCCCCTCTCTTCCGTTCATGTGGTGTAGTTACTCAATGTGTTTCCTTAAGTGGATGTTAGAGTTGGTATTTGTGTGTGTTTGTAGTGGGTGGGTGTTTGTATCCGTATAATTATAATTATTATTATTAACGCTGTTTACTTGGTGGAGAGGATAAGGGCAACAATAAGCCCATAGAGCCCCAGCACCTCAGCAAAGATCAGGATAAGGATCATGCCAACGAAAAGGCGAGGCTGCTGGGCCGTGCCTCGAACTCCTGCATCTCCAACGATGCCAATGGCAAAGCCGGCAGCAAGGCCACTCAGACCCACGCTCAGCCCAGCACCCAGGTGAAGAAAGCTCCTGCACACAGAGATAGAGAGAGAAGACTTTTAAAAGGCAGCAAGGTCCAACTGTCTACTTGCTAAGTTAGATATGTAAGCAAGATATACAAAATTCCCAGCAGGACCAACATCAGGATAAAATGTGGTACTGTGAAAACATAAAACATCACTTCAAAACATGTTTATTGCATTTTACAACGTAGAAAATGTTGCACTATGTCCAGCAACTCAAAGACATTAACACTTATGTACTGCTACATAGAGACACATTTGTGCAATATCTGAAAATCAAAATGAGATTATATCCAATTCCAGTGAATTAATTCTGATGGGAAATGAAAAAATTGCTACACTGGCACACAGAAAAATGACAGGTGAAAGACAGATGTGCATTATTCCAGTCAAGCTAACATAGATTAGTGATTAACTTGATCTAATACACCTAATACATCTAATAAACTTGGCAATTAATTTGTGTCTTTGAGCTTGGCGTGCACTCAGTTGCGCTGGAAGCTAGTCCTTCAAGACTCCAGCTGTTCAAAACCAAAATGAGACCCGGACTGTATCTTAGTCATGTTCCCCATCGCGCCCTAGTAGTACCAAGTAACATGGCAATTTTTTTGGTTTGACTTTATTAAAAAAAAAAAAAGAACATATTGGTTAATAGAGCATGGGAGGTTCTGGTGATCAATCTGAATTTTATAATGTGCATATAAAATAAGGACAGAAAATGAGCATACAAACATGTGTATGACTTACTTGTAGAGTGGGACAGTCGCTGAAATGCTGTTGGCGATGAGTACGGCCACCACTAAGCCGTAGATGGCAATGATACCCGCCATGACCACAGGGATGATGGACTTCATGATCAGCTCCGGCCTCATCACCGACATGGCAGCAATGCCTGTGCCACTCTTGGCTGTGCCGTAAGCAGCGCCAAGTGCTAAACACAGAGAATGCAAAAACATGAGTGAAGCAGTGTGAGCAATCAGACAACGAGGCAGAAACAGAGTGTACTGTGCCTACTGTGATGGATGTGGATGTGGAAGTAGGTAAACCTACCATTGGTTTAAAATATAAAGTTGTGTGTGCGAGTGAGTTTTGTTGCTGAATCAGACCTAAGACCTGACTAATGAACATCATTCTAACACCTAGTCGTAAAATATCTATCCCTACATCTCAAACCGTGTACACATAGACACACCCACAGGCCAAGAAGCTGCATTAAAAGGTGTAAGAAACCAAGGTCAGGACGAAGTATGAGGCAGTGGGACATCTTCTGCACCAGCAGTCACGTGACAGAACTGGGTACTTCCTCCCGGTAGAGGAAGTACAAGACTGGCGTTAAATGAATCACTGTAACAAGGACAAGATGTGATGCAATGATCAAGCTGTCTCTGTGATCTGGAAAAAAATAAATAAATTAAAAAAATACCCAGGGACACCCACAGGATCTTCAGATTGTTATTTAGTCAGAACAGATAGCTTGTACGTGTAGGACTGTGGATTATGCTTCAATTATATAATGGCATGCTTTAAAAAAAAAAAAAAAAAGAAAAAAAAAGTGCCACAATAAAAATTGCAGTGTCGCATTGGACACTAAATGCACCTGCTTGGGGTAACCAGCTATCTGATTGCTTTAATATAAACCATATTAAACAGATATACAAGTATATTTTTAGGTGTATTAGCAAAACTGTGGTTCACTGCAATAAATCAATGCAATAAAATGTCCTTGTTCAAAACGCCACTAAAAAGGGAGCTAATGCAAGTCTGCCAGCTGGCAAGGCGATACATATATACACACACCTACAGATATTGTTATATAGAGAAGATATCTTTGGATAAATACGCTGTTTGCGATGCGTAGTAGAATTTTTAGTATTTTGACTAAAACGACCAGCCTAAATAAATAATTTAAAGACATCTACGTCAACCAAGACGTCACGTGCCGTGATGGAAACCTTCGCTTTGCTTCCCTTCCCCCATACCGAAGCGCACCAGAGCTCCAGCACATTCACAACCCGATATTTTAGGTTCAAAATGACTACTCGAATAAAATACAAACGCAAATTCAGCTTGGAAAGCGTCCAGTGTCTTGGGCGGAGGTGAAACGCCGTGTCTCTTACCGCTGAAGACCATCGCTGCTGAGGCGCCCATCACTGCGAAGAAGGGGGAATACTCGGGATTGTCGGAGGACATCCT